CCCAATCCCAGGCTGGTCTGGGGGGGGGGGAGGAGTGGAGATCCTCTGTCCCTTCCCAGTCCACTCCACCCTGCCCAAAAAAGAGCCAGACCCCACAAGGTACCTATTTCTCCCTCCCCCTCCAAAAAAATGGGCTGAAGCAAGTGATGCTCAGGCAAAGCTCCAGCCCTGAAGCAAGGATGGTGGCACCACAGCAAACATCAGTCCAGACACCCTGGAGGTTACACTGCTCAAACAGGAGGGGCAGCAGTGGCAAAAAAAAAAACCCAACCCATCCCTGCACACGAGTTCTGCTGGGTTCCTGCAGCTGCAGAACCAGTTCCTGCCATTACCCGAACAATTGAAAGGAGCTCCCACCCTCCCCGACCCCAAAGCCTTCCTGCCAGGCAGACTCCAGAGCAGAAAGTCAATGGCTGGGATGAAATGCCAGAAAATTGTGCTGCAAACCAGGGGTTTTGTCAGCAAGGAGCAGCCAGAGCCATGGATGGGCCTTCCTGCCAGCCTGGCCACAGCCCCTGCCTCCCCAAACCCCACTGTGCTGGCACCAGGAGGGTGCAGCCCCTGGGGTCCAGGCATGTGGAGGAGCAGAGCATCCTGCACCTGGATCCCAGATCCCAAAGGAACAGCAGAGCCTGTGGACACCCAGATGCTGTTGGTGCCTCCAAGAGCCAGGAGGGTGGCTGCACCAGGGGGTGCTCTGCCCTGAGGAGGGGCTGCTTGGAGCTCCCCCTCCCCTCTCTTTGGGCATCCCCCAAATGAGGGCTCTACTGGGATGCTGAAGAAGGGCTTAATCAAAGCTTAAGCCCTCTCCAGGGAGAGCTGCAGAGGTGAGGCCCCACGGGCTCTCCATCCTGCCCATCCCTGCCCTGAGGACAGCACAGCCACTGCCCAAACCCAGGGACCCCAAACATCAGTGGACGGTGGGGACTGCTCAGGATGTGGCAGGGGGGCACCACCCCATCTCCCTGGCCAGGCTCAGCCCCCCCCCACCTTGCTCCCTGTGGCCTTGGGGGACTCACACAAGCAGCTGGATTTTGGGAAGTCTTCCCCCCAACACCAGCTCCAGCTCTGGGAAGGTCTGGGCAGCCCTTGTGACTCCTCCTGGGGAGGAAGCAAAAATCCTGCCAGGGACCCCTGGGTGGCTGTTTGGTTTTTCTTTTTTAAGAGGATGCAGCCACCTTTGAGAGCTTCCTCAGCCCAAAAGTTGGTTGCTGGGACACATCTCCAGACCTAAGGACACTGTTGCAGGTGTCCCCTCTGGAAGCAGGGGGACCTGAACACTTCCAGACTGGAGATGAAGAAACAGAAGCCCCGTGGAGAAGCGTGGAGGACAAACCAGGCAGCGCTCAGCACCGTAGGCTCAGGATGGTGAGGGATCCTCAGGCATGGCTCTGAAGCTGCTCTCCTGGTGAGGAAAGGGATGTTGATGGTCCTCAAGGACTTTCTCCATGGCAGAAGATGGTGGAGAAGCTCAGGCAGTGACTGGAGCCAGGAGGATCTACCCGGCGATCTGAGCTGTGAAATAAAGACAGGGGGCCCATCACTGCCCACTGTCACTTTGGGTCCACGACCTTCTCTGCATCCCAACAGCAGTAGGAAGTGGTCTGCAAAACTGTTCCTAAACACACAGCCACACCACACATTCCTACGAGCACAAGCAAGAGCAAAGAGGATGAAATAAAAGAGCCAAAGAGCGAGACGGTCGCTTCGTTCACATGGGCCGTAAATAAAACCATGTGGCAGCTCCGAACAAAATGATCCTTGGGTTTCCACCAAAGAGGTTTGTCCACCCCTGGGTTACAAAAGGTTGAGAAACCCATCTGTAGACAGTACATTTCAAGCAGATCTTCCATGCAGGGGCCAGTGCAAGGAGGGCATCTAATCAACACCAGGGACAGGCTGGACCCTGCACACACGGTCACGTTCCTGCTCTTCCAAGACTAACTCATGCCTTATTATTTGCAGACACAAAGTCATGTTTCAAGGCTTGTTCTGTCCTATTCATTTAAGTCTTTTATTCCTGACATCTGCAAGAGTTTTCTTCTCTAAAATGCGGAGATCCTGTGCATAATGCAGAGGCAAACACAGTGCTGCCCATCTCGTGGGTGTCCCCAGCCTGGGCTCCAGCAGGCAGCACCATGTCCATCCCAGCAGGGCTAAGGGAGCTGGCCCAGCCCTGATGGTCACTGCACAGGTGTGGCCACACACCCATCCCCAGGGATGGAGCTGGAGGTGGACAATGAACACATGGAGCCAAGCTTGGCATGAGCAGCAGGGTCAAGATTAGCCCTTTTGGGTTCTCAGAGCAACACCCCAGATGGCAGATGGACAGGTCAGGTTGGACACTGGGAACAACACCTTCCCTGGGGTGGTGGGGTGGAGAGGGATGGGTTCTCCACCCCAAGGTTCCTCCCTTATCTGCCCTTTCTTCTAGGCTGAAACTCTTCCCTGTGTTTCCTGGAGCTACTTTGGCTCCTCGAGCCCAATCCACCAGCAGAAACTGGAATTCCCACATAAAATGTCCATGCCAGGAAACCTGTCAGTGCTGTACAAGAAGTGTGAAT